TGCCACGGCCTGAGTTTTAAAGATAAAATTCTGAAAATTATTTTACAGAGACAACTTTTAGTGCTCTATCCAATGATTGAATCAGAATTTCTGAAAAAGATTCACGAAGACTAAAAAATGGTGATTCTGGGGCCCATTTTTTGATAAAATCGACTTTTCAGCCTGTTCTGCCGGAGTTAGCGCATGATGGAAGGCCAAACTAAATATGCATTCCCATACAACTCGATGAGGGCTACAAGACTAGCATACTTAAATCTTGCCGGGAATATGTTCTGTAAAAAGTGGGAGGAGCTGTGTGGAAACACCCGAATGTATGATGGCAGTTCTCACCTAATTTGACTAAATTTTCAGTATTTTCGTGAAAGAAAAATGATGTATTTAGTTTCTCATCATTGCTATTGAATTGTCTTCTGCAGACATAGATGAAGATCAGTATTTCGAAGTTTAATATCTTTGCTGCTTATGATGTATATCTATTCACACCTACACACATACCTTTGAATATTCTGTTGTTGTTTTTAGTTCATTGCCAATAAAAATATAATTTTGTAGTTGCTAACAACGTTTTATTTTATTTTATCTACACAGATTTGTTCTTATTGAACAAGTAAATAATATTTTTCCATATAATAAGTTATTTTCTTCATCAATAAATAGTGATGATTATTAAAAAATTGATTAATTTGAAAAAGTGAATTTGTATCATTTTCTTCAATATGAAATTATAAATTGAGTAACCATTTACTTGTTGCCCTACAAAAATAATAGGTTGTTCTTTCTCATATTAAAATTTATAATTACAAGAATTTAAATATCGATCTTAAATTAATCAGAAAAATAGATTTAATAAATTTTATCGATTTATTCGCTACAAATGCCGTAGATTCTTAAAAAAAGACTATATTTACAAGTTTTGTAATAAGTAAATTTCTTTAAAATGCATTCTAATAGAGAACAATGATGTTCTTAGTACATTTTACTAATAACCATATCCATAAGGAGATCCATAACCACCACCCATACCACCATAACCACCCATACCCATACCACCCATGCCACCATTCATACCACCACCGTATCCACCACCCATACCTCCGTATGGATCTCCAAAACCTCCACCCATACCGCCCATGCCACCACCGTAACCACCACCCATACCTCCGTATGGATCGCCATAACCTCCACCCATACCACCACCACCAAAACCTCCACCGCCGAAACCTCCTTCAAATTAGAAAAATACGAATAAATTTAAATAAATAAGTATATTATTCTTACCATGATGATGATGATGTCCACCGTACATTGTTATTGTTTATATGATATAAAAAATCGAATAATAAATATGAGAATGTGTATATGATATAGCGTATTAACGCATGTTTATATACTCATAGTTTTGTTCTCTTCTTTATTTTTATTAGTAATCGACTCTTTTGAAAAATAAGAGACAAAACGCCGTGATGCATATCGGAAATAATCGAATTATTCGTTTAGAAATACCAAACAACCTTCTAAAAAAATTATGCACTATGAAAAAGTACATAATACTTATATTTAAGCGTATCTATATACGCAGAAAAATAAAATGACGACGTAACGAAATATTCTTTTTTATGAAAACAATATTATTTTTTTATACGTAAATAACCTGTATGTACTATTTGATACAATAATACTTTTTATGTATTCATTTTATTTTTCTATTAAAGAGATCTTTAATTAGCTAAATGAATATTTTTATATCGATATTTAGTAAAAAGATATTATAACTTAACAAAAATCCGTTACAAACATATTAATTATTAATCTTGCATAAGATATTATTTTTAATGAAAATGAACTTATGATATTTCTTAAATCATATCTATTACTGAATTCACTTTATCATATGACTATATTCTATAAATTTCAATGTTTGTTTTTAACTGTTTCATTATCGATCAACATCATCTTTTTTCAATTTTACAGTATTCACAATAAATCTAGAAATGATCGGTATAATCTGTAGCAGTCGGTTAAGGAATTTAATTGAGTTTGTAATACTATAAATAAAAAAATTATTTCTATATTTTTAATTTAAAGAAAAAGAAAAAGAGAATTGAGAATAATTTATGGTTGTAGATTAAATTTGATATATGAAAAATATTTTCTTCTGTTAATAACAAAGTAGAATATTGCCTATTTGAATAAATACAATGAATGTAAGAAAAAAAGAAATTTAGATTAAAGATAAAATTAATTTTTTGATTATTCAGGTTTCTTCTTCATTATGAATATTGATTTATAAGCGGGACATTGGTTTTTTAGAATCAAAGAAAAAGAGATTTTTTTCATAACTGAAACATTCAGCGATTGGTTGTTTTTTTCATAGAAGGTACAGAATTGCTTACGTAGAATTATTTTATTATCCAAGGTATAAAGATTTTGTATAATCTGTTCAAGTGTAATAGATAGACATTTTGTTTTTTATTTCATTTACATCGAATAGGGGATCGGTGGTATAGGTTGCTTATTCGTATGTTGATCATAAAGCTGCTTTTACGTACTAAAATTTTCTCTTTCAGAAAAAATTTTTCATTTTTATTTTTTTCTCACGCATGCTAATCTCAACTAAATTCTCACGTTAACTGTGACATACACAAAGATAAGGGGCGGCAACTCAATGGATCTTTTCGGTTAATAATAACAATTCTAGTTCAACAGACACATTCCGAATATTTAAAATAGTTTTCTAAAAACTATTGCAACAGTCTTCATCAAAAGAGAATAAAGAGTTTCTTCGAGAAAATTTTCATTTAATATATAACAAAGTCACAAGATCTAGATGGTATTATTTAATGTGAGAAATTATAAATTGAAAAGTTTGAAGTAATAGTTGTTATTCTCAACTTTGTGATTCTGCGGATCTTTATAATATTTTAAAAGAAATTATTCATCCGAACATGTAATGAAAAGTCGATATTTTATATGTAAAAGTTTTACATGTTACTGCAATGAAAGAATATAAATGCTTTTAAAATTGTTTACTTTAGAAAAAGACTTTTTTTTAAACACATTTCTTAAAGTAAATATATTCATTTGTCTACTTTCATTTTTACCTAAGTAAATGAATACTCAAAAAAACCATCGAATTTCTTTTATTTACTCATTTTTTTTCTCTGTTGACCGACTAGAACTATACAATTATAATCTAGAATTTGATCAAATTTTCATAAAAACAAAACGATGTGTTTAGTTTGTCATCATGCTATTGAATTATCTTCTACAGACATAGAGCAAGATTAGCATCTACGCTCTCAAGATAAATAAATCGTCGAAGTTGCAGCCTATTGCACGATACGAAGCGAAAGTTGATTTTTTTTCCAACAGCAATACATTTTGCACATAATTGCATCAGAATGTTTGATTTTATGTATTTATGTTGATTGCGAAATAATTGTGACTCAGAGGGCGTCCACAATCCAATCGAAATCACCACGCAATTGAAGCGTCATAGAATACATGATTATTTTACTTTTGAATTTAAATCGAAAGGTACGAATGAAAGAAAATGGCGTTTGATTACTCATGATAGAACAAACACAAAATAACATCATAATATAGATTCATTATTTTACAGTGCTTGGATTTTTCCAACATAGAAATACATATTGCGGAAGTATCTCCACGTTCGTAAATATTGTATATATATATATATATACATATAAAACAAGCAAGAGAAATAGAAAAACGTTAACATTATGTTTGGTCGGATTTCTAAACCCATTCAAAGCTGTTCGTTACTTGTTCGACGGTAAGTTTGTAGACAAATTCTCTCTTATAAGAAATTTATCTGGACCTTTTCCCCACACTCTCATGCGATATACTTCAATATTTATTAATAATCGTGTTGACGAAAAGGAAAAATATATGAACTATTTTGTATATCATTTCTAGTACTTTGGCAGCTGAAATCATCAAAGATGGTTTAATGCCTGCCACAGCAATAACTCTACAAGAAACAAATGTATCTGTTGCAACTCAAACAGAGCACAAATGGTTGAATAATAAATATCCAGGATATACTCTCAAATCAAAAGCAATGGTCACCGATAGTGGAAAATATCTTGATCGATTCAGTATCTTGACAAAAGATGGACAACAACAAAACATTTACTTTGATATCACGCAATGCTACGCATGTTCAGTTTCACACTTGAAAGACATGTTCAACAAGCAACAAGAATCTGATAAAACTTCGCAAGCTGAGTAAAACTAAGATATAATATGGACTTTGTTTTTGTTTCTGTGCAAAACTTGACTTCGTTTGTATTAATTGCTCTACTAAACAAATAATCCAGAATAAATTTCCTGAGTTATAATCTGGGTGTGGGTGTGATTTAGGATTGTAAAGACACGTATCTATACCCACCAATCCACACACACATACATCTTCTAGATAGCTTGATGAATACAAAAAACACTCTGTTTGCTCAGAAAACATATTGATGTCATTGCGATTGGTTAGCCAAAATAACTTGTATCTCTGCAGTAATATTATCAATTTGGATAATTTCGTGTTCGATTAACTTTTTTAACAGTGTCCTGTTTCGTGTCAATTGCAGTGCATCGATAAAATTTTCGAGTTTCGAATTTCTTCTTTGTAAATCACATCCTATCGCTATTAAAAATTTGATTAGACGATGTCGACAGCCACGCACCTTGAGACAAACATAAAGTAATGCATCATTTCCATCCTTATCTAATCGATGAACGAGTAATCGTGATAAGTTCAATAAATGTTTCACAAGTTTACATTCTTTCTTCTGTAATAAAATAAACAACAGATCTGAGCTTGTCAGCCACGGTCTTAATTGTATATCACTCAAGAGTACCTTAAACAATTGTCTTTTTTTTCTGCTTCCAGTTATAATATCGACAATTTGTTGACTAGTCTTGGATTTACGAAATAAATTTTGTACGTGCACACTCTCACTATAGATAAATGGAATTATATTTAGTTGATTGTTTTCGATTAAATTGCATACAGCTTGTGCAAAGGTATCATGCTTATCACACGATGTTACGTCTTTTAAATCATATTCGTGAAGTATAATTCTCAATATTTCCATTTGGCTTGTGTGAATAAATATTTCCTCATAAGTGGAAGGTTCAGTCAAATTGATCATATTTAATATATCCAAAAGAATATCTTCAAGGAAAAAGTCTTCATCGAATAGATGTTTCAGACAATGTACAGTAAAGAGGAATAGGTTCAGCACAGCTTTATACCAGTTCATATTGATAGGGTTAAGTCGTACAGGAGCGTAATCATGAAAGTATTTTAATCGATAAATCGAGTATAATAGAAAATAGTGTGTAGAACGACTTTTCGTATCATAATTAGTGTAGCCTTTATTTTTGAGAAGCTTCGGATTAGAAATTAGTAATGCTTTGAACATTTGAATGAGAGGATTGATAAGTCGTTGATCATTAGATTTAGTGAGATTGGCCTTTGCTAATAACCATTTATTTATTGCTTTAGTAAAATTAAATTCTTTCTCATCGTCATCATCACATTCAAGACTAGCACCTTGAGTAAGAATACGAGACTCAATTCGTTTCATATCTATGAGTGATTCGGATGAGAAATGTGGTTCCCATGCACAATAGGCATCTTGTGGACATAAAGCAACTGGTAAATAATGAAACATCTTCTTCAATTCATTATCGAGGCTACTAATTACAATAGCAGTATTACGTGAACGTATAGACTGAAATCGTTTTATATTTGATTGAAATTCATCGCCCAATCGGTTGAAAGTTTCTCTAATATAAGAGACAATTAATGATTGAAAACATTGATAAAGATTTTTATCGTCTTCTGTTGTTTTCAAAGATGAAAATTGATGACATATCTCGTGAAATGAATCACAATTGTAATAATAGTTAATATCTGAATCATCAAGATTCGTATATAATAAATCAGTAAATAGATGCAAACATCTGTCGATAAGAATGTTATTTAGACGTTGGTTTAATCCAGAGAATGCTCGAAATATTGTATAAGCGTTGCCAGAATATCGCACAATGTTCATTAAAATTTCATTGGGTAATATTTCAAAGGTAGACATCGACGACATCCTGTAATGCTGTTATCTCTAAATGTCAAAGATGAAATATTCACCATGCACTTTCTTGCACATGTTTTGCGCAATTATTGAGTCAATTTACATACTTCTTTTTTCTGTTCTCTATATTGACAAATAAATGAGAGAAATACGTAAAGAAAAACCTTTTTTAACCGATGTGCAGAGTAGAACAGAAAAATAGTATATCAACTGAGTCAGTAATTACACAAATCTTATGCAATAACGTGTACACGAAAATACTTATTGAAATTTTTCTTGTTTTGGCATGTAACAATGACACCACTATCTTTGTCGCCAATCTTCGAAATGCTTTTTACAAATGGTTAGAGTTATCGATGTTTCGAAAATTTATATTGTTTTTTTTCAAGCAGTATAACAAACAAAATATAATCAGTCTTGAGGGTGGCTGTGAATGTTCTATTTCACCCACACCCTCAAGATGTTATAATGATATTAGCAAAAGAAACTTTTCATGACTCTATTGAGTCAGAAGTCAACTACGCCCTTGATAAAAAAATATCAATGACACCAATTCGGAAGTAATATTTCAATCCGCCTCAATGTCCTTTTTTTCTCATTTGTTCGTAATACACCAGATAAGTGCATAACAGAACGATAAAGTAAGTGATTGATATTTTGATAGTTGAGTCAAAAAAAAGAAAGATTAAAGGATAAATCTGAATAAGGACATAAACTACGCCTTTGGTATTACTAAGTATAACTATTTTTTCTTTTGACAACTATCGAATAAATATCAAATTATTGTTGTAAACTAATCGGTTAAAGATGTGATATATACACAGTATAGCTGATTAATCATTGAGGATTTAAATTCTAATGAGAATGGGTTAAATATTATTGATTTTGGTTTGGGCGAGCCATCAAAGTGAGTCATCATCGATAAGACTATATCTTAAGATGGATTAACAATAGAACAGTACCACAATTCTCAACAAAATGAAAAAAATGCGTGCAAATTATCACCCAATACTACAGACAAATGTCCATCGTGATTCACCGATTCCACAAGTATTTCTTATCGAAAAGGAACAAAATTTAGCTAGTCATCCTTCGACATCAACCAATCATAATCATCACCAACAATCTGTTCCCAAACAAATCAAAGATTCGAAAGAATGTCAATTGTCAATCAATTCTCAAGTTTCTCATTCGTTTGAAAAAGATTTCGTCGAGAAAAAACCTAAAGAACATCATCGACGAGTTTTATTCATTATGGAACCGATTATCATTGGTTTAATTCTTTTCCCAATTATAATTCTTTTCTGGCAGTGTGGATGGAATGTTATATTCGTTTTATTGAATTCAGTCAATAGATATCCACCATCTGCTTCTCAACAATATTTAGGGACGGAAGAGTCAAAAATTCTAACAAACATTCTATCTTTAAATGGCTCACAAAAAGTCTTAGAGAAAGAATATTTATCAAAATTTGACAAACAAAAACCCTCGAAATTAGCAAAAAATTCACAAATAAAGGGTAAAAAGGGGAAAGGATTATCACACAAGAAGCCCTTGCACATTAATAACGATGATCCGTTAGTATCAAATCTTGAAGGAGACGATTTTTCATTTCAATCATTATTTATTTCGTATGTCGTCGCTCAAGTTTTTCTTCTTTGTTTTTATCTCGGTCAAGATTTTTTCTACAATTTTCTCAAAAGACAAACTTATATAATTCAAATTATTCTATTAAAATGTCATATATTTGTCTCAGCATCAATTTATATTATTCAATGGGAAATGATTTGGACAATGTGGGATCAATATACTTCCGATGAATGGGATTTTGAATTACTTCTTTCTTTAACATTTCTATTTGTATTAATTATCTTCACAGGACATTTATCAGATCTGGTTTGTGCTCCATTTCTCATTAGTTATGATTCTATTGAATATTGTTTACTATCTAGTTGTCCTCTTCTAACACGACAAGTAAGTTTGATCTTTAATATTGAGAAAAGAAAGAAATATATTCTATTTTTTTTCTTATTTAAAGATGAAACAATGGAAAATTAATTTAATAAATTTTATTTTATACGAAATTATCATTTCGAATATAATAATCATAATATGGCGCGGTTTTTATCATTTTATTGATATATATTTCTATCCTGATGATTGGGTTCGATCTGTTTGGATTTGTTTATTGATTGGCTATATTCTTTATTTTCCTTTAATGTATTTTCAAAATTACTTGGAAAATTTAAATTTCAAATATGAATTTTGGATATTTATTTCGAGAAATTTTCCTCAATTCTATGAAAATATTCGTCATTTCTTTGCTTTTTTTTCATGTCTCTTTCTTTGGCGTGGTTTTTGGCTTTTATATGATTCATATATTGATATTTTCGAATCTTATTTTCAAACATGTTTATTATTATATCTTTCATCATTTCTAGTTTTGGCTTTAATTCAAACGGCATCATCAATCAATGGTCCACTCAACACTATGAAAGATGAAAATGGTTTTTTTCCTCTTTATCCAAATTGTTATGTTTCGACAATCTTTAGGAAATTATGTCAATTACCTTTTTTTAATCAAAACTAAATAAATAATATATCAGATTCTACAATACTTTTTTTAAAATAAAACGTTTTAAATTCAAGCAGATAACAGGTTGTGGTCTGTTCTTCCTATTCTTGAAACTTTGTGTAAAACAACAAACAGATTTTTCAAATAAAAAGAGTTTACAAATCTAAAAACTAAGTTAAACTTCCAATGTCTTTTCTTTGGATTCTTAATAAATGTAATGAACGAATGATCATAGCTTATTTATTTTCAGTTGAACGACAATTATTAGCTAAACCATATTTATTTCTAACATCTCCATCATATGCAGTGCACAACTTTCAACAGAACACTAGAGTCTAAATTCAAGATTTTACATACCAAGTTATTGAAAAATATATAGAACTAGATACTTACCAACCATGTTTCAAACGATAAGCAATCTCTATTACACTTTTAACTGTCAAAACTGCTCGTAGTCGTGCACGTACATGTAATAATGATCAACAAACCTTTTTAATATTATTTAAGAAACAATTACAAATACGAAAAGAACTCTATGTTACACCAATACTTATTATTCTCAGTTCATTGCCACGAATCATTCTATCGTTTACGTATGCTTGTACTGAATTGAAACAATCATGGCAATGGTATCTATTACTCACAACACATTTTTTATCATATTTGCCACAAGTTTTGGGTTTTGCTCTTCATGTTATTTCATCAAAAGTATTCAAAAAAGAATTTCAACAAACGATCATTGGAAAACGATTGATTAAGAAAAAAATGGTTCAAACGTAAACTAGAGTGGGTGTGGGTGTGAATGTATATTTTCAGTCTCATTCATACCCATACTCTGTGCACGAACGTTGGTAGTTTAATGCTTATATAAAAAATTTCTTTTTTTTCATTTGATTAATTGAAAGACATGAAATAACTATGACCATTGTCGGAGCAATACTGTTAATTTTGTAAGGTACTTCGGTTGAATTACACCAGATGGATCTGATAGATTAAATGTACCTTGATCCTATAGTTTACATGAATGTCCAACACAACAATAACAGGACGTTACCTAAAATATTTCTATTCAATAACGAACATGATAATGATCTCTTTTTTTGTATAGACAGAGATGGTAGCTCCTTCGCTTCGATCGATATCATTCCTTCATTTTCGACACGATATATTTACGCTGCAAATCACTTGATTTTGGTATTGCATTCTAAAATGTCATACTAAGTGATAAATTCTATTAACTTTACTGCGGCACGTTTTATAGCATTATTTGTGAAATAACAATTGAGTAAAAAGATTGATGATTCAGTTAGATTCAAATCATATAGAGTTTTTTTACAAACGCAACAATCTGAAAACGGTCTTTTTTCAATTTCTTCTGTTCTTGAGAAGAATGGATATGACAACTATTTTGTTTTTTTGTGTACATAATTAACTCTTTTTCTCTTGTGAAAGACAAAATTTTAAAAGCGACACTTTTTTCAAAAAGAAAGTGCCTGTGGCATAGATGGGTTTATATATATGGAAGATGATCGTAACACCCACGCTCACAACTGATTCTTGGTTTTTTCCAATTTACATTTGTTGACTCTAGAAAAATATGATGTTAGAGGAACGGTTTTTTTTCATTTCCTGATGAGCTTCAGGATGGGTGTGGGTGGCTGGATGTGGATAAATACAACGCTATGTCATACTTACACCTACATCCATCCATTTCAATTTTTTTACTTCAGATTTTTGTCGGCAAAGTGATTGCGTCTCAAATATTGCCCGCAGCATCAACAACATGACTTTAATACAATTTACTTCCTTTGATGAATTTTTCGTTCTTCATCTACGTCCTGCGACTTGTTAAGCAAGTTGGAATTATTCTTGAATATCATGACGGAGAAGAAAATAAAAAAGGACAATTTTTTTGAATTTTTTCTGCGATTCGTAACTATATCTTCATCCTACATACATACATTCTTGGCATTCTTGTTTTTCTATATAATACTGACGGTTGAAAGAGAACTTTTTTTTACTAAATATTATAGTACTTGTCGTTAAAATAAAACCGTCTTTTATTATCGCATACTAAATAGATCTGCATTATGACAGAACATAATGAATGGAATGGTAAGTAATAATGTTTTTTTTCAAATTAAATTTTCATTGATTTTATTACTTTATAGGATCATTATTTGGTTGTTTTGATGATTGTGAAACATGCATTTACGGATATTACTGTGTAGCGTGTTTATTCGGGCAGAATGCCGAAAAAATTGATGGAAGTAATTGTTGCTTCATGTCCTTTATGTATTACAGCCTTGGTGCCGTTTTTTGTCATTGGATTCCACACTATTTTAAACGAACTACTCTTCGACAAAAATATGGATTACCACAAGATCCAAATTGTCCTGACTGTCCTGCAACAGCTTTTTGTAGCCCATGTGCGATCTGTCAAGAAGCTCGGTTTTTAAAACGTAAATATACATAAACATAAACTAAAACTAATATTATATTTTTGTCTTTGTATTCTAGAACAGGAACAAAATAATACTAATGCAGTCTATACTACTGTTTCAGGTGCTATGCCAATTGCAAATCAACCTCGGACAGCGCATTAAAAAATGACAATAATATTTTTTATTCATGTTAAAACTAATCACTTACTTAATTATACGAAATTGTCTTAATTGTCAGCTGAGAGTGTGGGTGTATCACATAAATATCAACCTGCAACCTAAACATTATACCAGAATTCATCTATGTTTTGTTTTCCTTAGTTATATTAACAAATAAACTTCTAACTGCAACAAGAACTGCTCTCTTCACAGTACATTTAAAATATATATACTTGGATACTCTGATTTGAAGCAATTGACAACGATATTAAGCATATTCAAACAGTGAGAAAGTAGTAAAACGTTAAAAATTATTTAAAAAAAAAAGTGGACTATGATAAGTTTTGTTGATGATTGACTAAGTGAAATTGAAATACAGATGGAGTAAAAAAAGAAACATACATGAGTACAGTAAAAACAAAATTAGTCACAATCATCTTGAGAATATGGATATAGATATTGTTCATATTTTACCCACGCCTTTATACTTTTAAGGTATTTCTAATATCATGAAAACATAATATTTTGCGATACTTAGAAATCATTTTTTCCTATTATTGATATTGTTAAATTCATCAAATGTCTACAGATTTTATTTTCCTTCGATTTTTAAAGAATTTAGAATAAAGACAAGATTACTTTTCTATATCTATACATCTTTGATCATGCGTCAGGATAATTTTTATATCATTTTTCCAGATGTTTTGATCTATTAGGAAATACGAAATCACATAAAAACTGTTTTATCCTATTACAATTCATTGTACATTAGAGACAGATTGACTACACTTATAAAATCTGAACTTTATTTTTCATATGATTATTTTCTGTCTTGACTTATTTAGCAATTTATTATCTAATAATTATTGTTTCTTAAATTGTTAAAAATTCTTTTAATTATAGTCGCTATAATAACTTTGAATGTATCATAATGATTTTATCAAGTTTCTTTTTATTGATGAATAGATTTATAATTCATGTTATTAACAGTCGTCTAGTTTTCTATTTATGGATTATATATTTCATTAGTATCTAAAGTATGATTATCATATCCACAAGTTATTAAAACTTGTCCATTTGGCAGTACAGATGCAGTGTGTACCCATCGTCTATTTTCCATATTATCAACTGTTGACCAAATTTCTGTTAATGGATCATATAACTCAGCACTATCTAAAGCACCACCATCATATCCACCCGTAACTAATACTTTTCCATTTATTAATACAGATGCCGTATGATAATATCTAGCATTATTCATGTCTCCAGTAGTTTTCCAAGTTTCTAATAATGGATCATATAATTCAACACTTTTTAAAGCACTACCATTTGATCCACCAGTTACTAATATTTTTCCATTTGTCAGTACAGATGCTGTATGATAATATCTAGCATTATGCATACTACCAGT